TTTTTTTTTGGTACTGGGAATCAAACTCAGGACCTAACCTTTGCCAAGCAAGTGCTGTGCTGCTGAGCTCTATCCCTAGCCCTCTAGATGATATAATCTTATGGTACCACCATCAGATCTGTGGGCTTCTAACCAAAACACTACTAAGTGGTGTATGACTATACATCTTAACAAAGCTGCCAATACAATACTGTATACTCACATGGTATCTTATATTTTTTCACAGTGCTAAGTAATCCACACAGGTTTTAATGGATTTTTAATATCCCATCAAGTTGAAATACTATTCATCTGTTATCAAAAGTTAACTCATTCTCTTAACAGTGAATAAAGTTCTAATATTCTATCATAAAAGAAAGGAATAAGCAGCTATGTGTGTAGCTATTTCCATATGAATTGTATGCATAAGAAAAAATTACAAAAACTGAATTATTTGGACAGAAACAACTGACATATATGAACAGCTCCCACCAAATACTGTCACATGGCCTTCCAAAAAGAATGCAAGAAGTGTACCAAGGGGCTGGGGATTTAGCTCTGGGGCTGGGGATTTAGCTCAGCGGCAAAAGCGCCTGCCTGGCAAGCGCAACGTCGTGAGTTCGGTTCCCGGTACCGGAGAAAAACCAAAAAAAAAAAAAAAAAAAAAAAGAAGTGTACCAATTTATAGGGCCAACGGCAACGTACATAGATATAGGCAATGAATACAAATGAATGCTGAAATACTTTTCCTAAACATTTGCATACTGAAGCATGCAGTATACACATGGAATGGCCAAATAAATTTTCACAAATCTACACATCCTCGACCATTACACAAATTAACAATGCCAATACCAAGTAGCCTTTTTTATTTGTCTTCCCCCTCATCAGCTCTTCACAAAGGTAGCCACTGTTCCAACTGTCATCACCACAGATTAGTTTTGCCTGCATTCATATAAATGGAAGCACATAGTATATTCTCTGTGTTTGGCTATTTTCACTCAATATTATATTTGTGAGATTCACCCATGTTTTGCATTTAGCATAGCTCACTCTTTTTCATTGTTGTACAGTATTCAACTGAATGACCATAATCAAAATTATTTATCTATTCTGTTGATACATTCACTTCCAATTGAAGGGAACTATCACAAAAATTACACTATTAATTTTTGTATGTATTGCTGGTAAACAGACACATGCATTTCTAGCAGCTCTGTAGCTAGCCATGAATTACTAGGTCATATGTTAAGCTTTTAATAGATACTGCAAATTAATTGTTAATGGTGGTTATTGCCATGCCAGATGGCATTGGATAGCCAGTTATACAGGGATAAAAGAATCTACCAATTTATCATTTATTCCAGGAGGACGGGGAGTGAATGTCCAAGAGAGGAATCACAAAATCAGCGTAAGAGGCTGGGGTTTTCATTAGGGTAGGGTTTGGGGTAAGCACTCTAGCCAGCAAATCTAGCTATCTCAGGAACGCTTCTTCCAGGGTGTTTTGTTTTTTGGGTGGGTTTTTTTTGTTCTGTTTGCTTTTAGTTTTTTTGCTTCATGCTCATAATGAACATTTTCCACATGTACTTGAAAAGAAAGTTCCATTGTACTTGAGTATAGTGTTCTAATTGGATAACTATGTTGTTCAAATATTTTATTCCTTACCCCCACATCACACTTTGTTTGTTCTATCAAACTTCTTTGTTTCCCTGGTTTGTTATATTGGACTTTGAGAAAAGTTATGTTTAAGTAGCCTATTCTAGCTGGATTTCTAAATACTACCTTGTATGTTATATATTTTGATATATAGTATCAAAAGGATTATAATATATGATCTTTTCACTTTATATATTTTGATGTATACATTCTGAAGCCTTGTTATTAATTTTATATAGACCTTTATTTCCTGGATGTACTGGACTCCTCTATAGTAAGATGTTCCTCTTCATCTCCAGTAATGCTTCTTGCTTTAAACTCTGTATTTATGTATTACAGCAGCCTTCTTGTGTTAGTGTTTACGACATTTTATTCTTGTACTATCTTCTAGTACCCTCATATTTAACATATATCTCTTATAAAGACCACATAATAAATTTTTTGCCAATGATAAGTATTTATCCAAGAAAAATGAAAGTGCCTTTCCACATATAGATTTGTATGTAAGTGTTCCTAAGAGCTTTATTGTTGTTTTGGTTTTTGAGATACAGTTTCATTATGTAGTTCAGGCTGGCCTGGAAGTCACGGTAATCATCCTGCCTCAGCTTCCTGGTGCTGAGATTATAGGTGTGCACCACTACACCCCGTTTCCAGGAGCTTTATTTATAATAGAAACTGAAAACATAAATGTCTATCAAGATAAATGGGTAAACAAGTTGTGCTATATTCACACAATGGGACACTACATAGCATAAAATGAACTTTCTTTAAAAAACAGAATGAAGTTTTGACACATACAACACTATGCTGAATTACAAAACAGACAAAAAAGGAACATCTGTTTCATTTATATAAAATGCAAACTTGTCATATGTGGTGCTGTACTTAATCCCAACTGCTCAGGAGGCTGAAGCAGGGAAATTATAAATTCAAGGTCAGCCTGGGCAACTTAGACTCTATCTCACAATAAAAAAGGGGCCTAGGATGTAGCTCAGTGGCAGAGTGCTTGCCAGCATGTATACAACCTGAGTTGTTTAATTTCCCGTCCAACCAAAAAAACAAAACAAAACAAAACAAAACAAAACAAAAAACAAAACAAAACAAAACAAAAATATACAGTAACAGAGAACAAATCAGTGATTGCAAAGGAAACAAGGTGGCAGACAGGGATAAAAAGCAGGGGGAGGGAAGACAAAGGAGTATAAGGTAAACTTTAGCAGTAACAAATATGTTCACTTAAGTGCCCATCAGTATGTGAACAAATACAATCCTCGATGCAATACATATAATCAACAACATACGAATGTGAAAAAGCTGCTGAGTGAAAGAAGCCAGATGAGTAAGGAAGCATTCTCTGAGATTTCAGTCATGAATTCCAAACCCGTGAAGTTAAACTAGAGTGATGACGGCATTATAACGTTAGCTGTGCCAGAATGACAGTGCACGGCTGTAATCGTAGCAAGTTGGGAGGGTCTCTTGCTGGGAGTTTGAGGCCTGCCTGAATTACACAGCGAGATCCTATCTTAAAAAAAAGAAGTCAACTGGTTCACACCCACTAGGCCGGCTATCATTAAAACCAGACAACAAGTGTGGGTAAGGATGCAAAGAGACTGGAATCCCCATACATTGGCAAGACGGATATAAAATTACACAGTTCAATCCTTAGATACATACCTAAGTGTCTACATAAAAACTTTTACATAAATGTTCATAGCAGCATTATGCATATTAGCCAATAGAAAAAAAAGCCAAAATTCCACTGATGTATAGTTGAAATACATGACTCTATTCAAATGACAAATAATTAAAAAATTAATATTCACAGAATGGAATGTCTGACAGTAACAAGCAATGAGTTACTAAGTCATGCCACAACATGGATAAACCTTGAAAATATTAAATCAAAGTAGTCACACATAAAAGGCTATATATATGGTATGATTCTATTTATATGAAATGTCTAAAATAAGCAAATCCACACGACTATAGCAGACAAGCTGCCAATGGAAGGAGAGGTGGGGGAATGGGGGAATAATGGAGTTCCTTTCTGGAGTGCTCTGGACTTAAGGGTGGCAGGCACACAACTTTATGACTGTGCTAAAAACTACCATAATGAATACTTCAAATGGTGAATTTTATAGCCTATGAATTACATCTCCATTTTAAAATCAATACATACTAAAAATTTTAGCTACAATTAGAAAATTTTGAACACTTTCATGAAGTGTAAAAATTTACACAATGTAAGCTGGGTACAGTGGTACACATCTATAGTCCTAGCTACTTGGAAGGCTGATACAGGAGGCAACATGGCCCAGGAGTTCAAGACCAGTCTGGGCAACATAGCCAGACACTGTCTCAAAAAAAAAGAAGAAGATTTGCACAGGGTTATTACCTAGAGCATAAAGCAAATAAACCTATTCTTTCTCTATGGAATTTATAAACCAATGTATGACACAAACATTATATTCCCAGAAGTGATATTTATTACTCATAAAAATCATATACTAGGGCCAGGGATATAGCACAATAGCACAGCACCTGCCTGGGAAACATGAGGTCCTGAGTTCGATTCTGAGTACCAAAAAAGAAAAAAAATCATATACCGAAAGAACACAAGAATATACAGACAGGGGCTGGGGATTTAGCTCAGCGGCAAAAGCGCCTGCCTGGCAAGCGCAAGGTCGTGAGTTCGGTTCCCGGTACCGGAGAAAAACCAAAAAAAAAAAAAAAAAGAATATACAGACAAGAGAAAAAAAAGGAGGGGGAAGGAGGGAAGACAGAGAAAAGGAGGAAGAGTGGGAAGAGATACACATTAATAACCTTTCCTTTGGGCTGGGGACATAACTCAGTGGCACAGGCACTTGTCTGGCAAGGCTGAGGTCATGAGTTCGATTCCTAGCACCAAAATAAATAAATAAATAAATAACCTTTCCTTCAAAAGCCTAGAATTTATTTTCTCTTTACCTCCATTGCTTCCTGAGCAATCTCTGGCATGTGTGACTGAGGGACCAACTGGACGAGCCCTGTAATTAATTCAGCTGTACTGCCTGGAGTTTCAGGCCCTTGTTTCCTTGGATTCTGCAAGAAAAAAGAAAGATTTCAATTTAAAAATAAATCAACTAACAGGGATTATAAGGCGGAAGAAATAGAAAACAACTGTTAACAGGTACTACATTTCTTATAGGGGTGATGAAAATATTCTTGAATTAGTGGTGACAGTTTCAAAACTTCATAAATATATTAAAAACCACTGGCAAAATGGTAGAACAGTGAGTCCCAGCAACTCAGCTTCTCCAGGACAGAGTCTAGAGTCTGCAAAGCAACAGGCTGGAGAGGAACTTAAGTGGGAGGAGGGCACACGAGAACCAACAGAAAACTGACAGAGGAGAAGAAAATAGGACTAAATGATACAGAAGAGGTGGACCATGCTGCAGAAGAGCAACCACAGTGCCACAGACAGGAGGCAAAGGTGAAACTAACAGCTTCTCTGCTCACAGAGAACTGCACTGGGGCCAGGGGAATCTTATGTGGTTGGAGACAGCAGGAAGAATGCAAGACACTGCTTCCCAAGCACCCCTCCAGAGTTAACAGATGGTGGGTGACTGCAGTACAAGTGCTAAAGGACACAATCGCGGGGAGCAGGAGGTGGTAGGGATGCCGTTGTAGGGAAAGGCTGGGTGTTTGAACCTCAGTCCCAAAACAGCCCCTTGGCTGCTTCACACTGCCAAGTTCCCAGATTAGATGAGGGAAGGACAGTCACAAGAGAGTGCCGGCAGCTGGAGAGCAGTTTGGAGTGAGTCCCACTGCGAGGCAGGGACTGGAGATCACAGATTCGGTTCCGGCAGTCAGATGCCATTTCAGCCTGAGTTAGGATTGGAAGCTTACACCAGCATCTTCTTCTCATTGCTAAAGGTAGATTCAAAACAGAGTCTTATAGTATGTTATTTGTCAACTACTCTGATAAATACTACTGTAACAGATTAGCCTGTTTCTGCTGGAGTTGAATTGACGGCATAGGAATTAGACTGGCTCAGTGGACAATTTCATGCCAGTGAACTTGTCTGCCAAAACCACCATCACATCCAGGGAGAGGGACAGCAAGAGTTCCTAACCCAAGAAGTCGAACTTGATCAAACTCTGCAAGAATGCCTGCAACCTGGCAGAAAGAGGTTCCGAGTCTGAGCTAACTTCAGTATCGCAGTGGAGGGATGACAGGAGTCATCAGGGTAGGAGCAATCAGACTCTGGCAAAGAAGCTACTTGGGAATCACATATGCAATGTCTCTGGATTATCTAATCTGTGTTCCCATCAGACATCTTATTAGTTTAAGTTTTTGTATGTTTCTGGAGTTATTTAGTAATATGGGGTTACGTTATGCTCTTTTATGGTTTCACATGTTTACTAGCTTGCTACTCTTGTATACTTGTTCTTTCTCTGGCTCTGATGTAACAGGTGCCTGGGTTCCCTCCCTCATCTCAGTTCTTTAGCTAGTTTCTTCACCTCAAACCCCCAAGATATTATTAACGTACTTCTTTGTTCTTTTTCCAAATATATACACTCTTCTTCCCAAGTTTTTAAATTCCTCATACTTATCTTCCTTACAGTCACCCTTATCTTCACTAATATAATTCCTCAATCCTCCCCATCCTAAGCCTTTGGCTCTTCCATAGCTTACCATAGCTTACCTAGCTCTTCTCTATAGTAAGCTCTGATAACCACGTAAGCAGCTGTAGTGGATTGATAACTGGTGGTCAACTTATAACCCCCAG